TCAACAGAGATTTCATATACCTTGTCCCTTAAAAAGGAAACCATATTTGCCTGCAAACAGCTCGTGGTCTGTATGCTTAGAAAATCAAAAAAAAATATATATATATATATATATATATATATACATAAATACTTCGATTTAGTTTTAAATATCTTTATTCATCACTATCATCAGATATCAACCCGTTTTTCTTTTTCCATTTTTCTATGGCGTCGCTATGGGCTTCAGCAGCCTTGTTTGCCGTATCAAGGAATTGTGGAAGCTTATCTAGAAGCGCTTCCATCTTGCTCGTGACTGTGGCTGTTGGAGATGACTTCTTGGCTTTCTTTCTTTTCCTGCAATATAAACAAGCTCTCTGTTAACAAGTAATTCACATAAAAACATGCATTTAATATCATGTTTTAGTGTTTAAAACAAACAATGGTTACTGGTACTGTGCCTTAGTTTTGAGCGAGCGTGTAAATGTAATGACCATGAGAAACGCACGGTGCGGTGTTCGAGCATCTACATTTAAGCATCACGTGTGCTTTGTATAAATGTTTTAATATGATTTTTTAACAGGAAATTGTGAAGGCTGGGCCTAAGTTTTAATTCCAAACCTTTGTTCTTCGCTTTTTTCTTTTTCGGCTGTTCTCTTAATTACATTCAGCACATCTTTCGGTTGAGCTACATGGCTTCCACTACCGGCAGCCTGGTTGTTTAAAACGTATTTCCTGTCTCTTTGCTTTATACTCTCTGCCACTTCGCAAAGTTCATCATCTATGTTCTCGTTCCCCACCGCCAAATGAAGCTGTTTGTCATCATCCATGTCACCTGCACTGTAGTATTCATTCTCAATGCTTGTCTTCAATTGCATTCTTTGGCTAATATGTCGGAGGAAATTCGTTAGTATCAATTTGTATATATGTAATAGCTTCATGCACACATGAACGATGTAATACCTTTTTTCACCGTCCAAGAGTTTCGCCGCTCTTTTGCGAATACGTTCTTGCATTCGTTTATCATTGACATCCACGTTCTTATAAAATTCTCCTGTCTTTCCCAGAACGTCTACATGCTCGCACAAAAATTTCAGGACGCTTTTCCAGTTTCTCCCTCTCTGTTCTATTGCTTGAAGTATCATTAGGTCTTCTAATTCTGTGTACTTGTGTACTGGAGTTTTCGAGGTACTTGAAGTTAGAGTTTGGGCCGAAGACCAATTCGAAGAATTCGAAGGTGTGGAGATGG